CTTTCCTCACTGCAGTTGATCCAGAGGATTATCGCAGAGACATCTAGTGGTGGTGTAACTGCCAACGACTGCCTGGTCCATTACATCATTGACACCCTGCCATTTGGGGGTGTGGGTGAGTCTGAAGCTGGGCCGGTCAGATTGAGTGGGCAACACTGGACAGATAGTAGAAAACTCTCGGAGATAGGCCCCCCACACTCTTTTCCCCCCCCCACCTTTCCTGTGGACGTCCTCAGTACAGCCTCCTGTTCTGAAGGCAGGGCCCGTAGTGGGCTAATGACTCTGGATATGGAATGGAGAGGCAAAGGTGGGGTAGGAGAACACAGCCTTGTCCTTTTCATTTCCTGGTTAGAAGAGAAAGGTGGTCACCTGACCTCTGAATATGAACAAGGAACAAGAGTAGGCCGGTGAATGATGTGTGATACTGGGATGAAGGGAAAAATCCTTTTCCCTTTAAATGGAAGGACAGGAGGAGGCCATCCAGGATCTCCACACACTTTTTCTGGCCACTTCATTAGACCACAGCTACTCTAGGACTTGCCTCTATCTACCTTGCTTAGTCTCTCCAGCCCCGATTACCCATTACCTAATAAAAATCCCGTCAGACTAAAACTAGGGCACGTAGATTAAAAGCAAGAGGCCTCCCTTTTAAGACAGACATTTTTCTTTGACGGTCTTCAGAGTGTGGAGCACTAAAAGTGGTGGGGAGTAGGTGCTGACATTTAGTCAAGGCTGAGTTAAATGGATTTTTGATCGATGCGGGAGATGGGAAAGTGGAGATGAGACCACGGCTGGGTCAGCCATGACCTCGTTGAATGTGCTCAAGGGGCTGATGAACTGATCTTGCTCCTAAATGTGATCTTCTCTCTGATCTTTCCATTCCCCTCTCTGTTTGTTTGATTCTCTTCCTGTACTGCGACCACCGTCCCCGTGCCAGGGAAAAGTGGCATCGGGGCTTACCACGGTAAATTCAGCTTTGAAACCTTCAGCCACCGCCGAGCTTGTGTGTTGAAATCGCTGGGTATGGAGAAGGCGAATAGTATCCGTTATGCACCAGCCACTGATTCAAAGCGAAAATGGACCCTTTGGCTGATGAAGAAATCTAAAGGATACCGGAAAATGCACCTTTTTACATTCGCATTGCTGGGAGTTCTCGTTGCCATCCTGATGCAGGTGGGGCTGCTGTTTTAAAAATATCCCCTTTATTGGCCATCCCTGATTTACTGGCAGTGAGGCACTTTCTCAATGTTTCTGCCGCCCTAGGAGATGATGGTGTGGCGGGAATGTCACTGGACGGGTTATCCAGAGGCCCAGATGGATTCTGTCTCTCTCTCTCTCTCTCTCATGTCAGTGGTTCAAATCCCATCACGCTGATCTTGGAAACTAACTTCCGCTCATGTCTCTGGAACGTAAGAGTTCGAAGCAGGAGTAGGCCATTGAGCACTCTCGAGAGTATGCCATTTAATACGAGCATGGCTGATCTCTTCTGGGCCTCAACTCCACTCTCCTGCCTGCTCTCCATAACTCTTCACCCTGTTACTAATTAAAAATTTGTCTATCTCCTCCTCAAACTTACTGAGTGTCCCACACTCTGGGGCAGTGAATTCAACAGATTCACAACCCTTTGGGAAGTAGATTCTCCTCAAATCCATTTTGAATCTGCCACCCCTTTATCCTAAAACTATGACCTCTTATTCTGGAGTGGCCCACATGAGGGAACATCTGCTCTCTAGCGGCTTTTGTCAATCTCCTTTAGCATCTTTACGTCCCTCCAATTACATTTCCACTCATCCTTCTAAACTCCAGCGAGTATAGGCCTAATCTGCTCCATCTATCCTATAAAGCTAGTCGCACTGTGAGAGCTGACATCGATGATTGTAGGCCCCACCCAGTTTGCTGATCCCTCTCAGGGAGGGAAATCTGCCATCTTTATCTGCTCTCTAAGGTTTTGGAGTAGATCTGTAGCTCGGGTTGTGGGTGTTGAGGTTAATTAACATTAATTTTATCTGGCCTACGTGACTCCAGACCCATAGCAATGTAGTCATCTCTTCACTACCCTCTGAAATGGTTGGGTAAGCCACTCAGTTTAGTTTGCGACGGGCAATAAATGCTGGCTTTTCCAGTGATACCCATGTCCCATGAAAGTGTAAACTGTCTTTTTAAAAAAAAGGTCTGTGGTGTAGGTGCGGCCTTGCTTTTGGGTAGGAAGTTCCAGGCCTTTGAACTGATGAAGGAAAGATTGACGCAAAACCAAAACGTAGTTGGGAAGAGTCAGCAGGTGGATTGGCACCTGTGGAGAGAGAGACACAGGTAATGTTTCAGGGGAAGCGCAGTGGCTCCGTGGTTAGCACTGCTGCCTCACAGGACCAGGGACCCAGGTTCGATTCCACCCTCTGGTGACTGTCTGTGTGGAGTTTGCACATTCTCCCTGTGTCTGCGTGGGTTTCCTCCGGGTATTCCGGTTTCCTCCCTCAGCCCAAAGATGTGCAGGCTAGGTGGATTGGCCATGCTAAATTGCCCTTAGTGCCCAGGGATGTGTAGATTAGGTGGGTTATAGGGGGATGGGTCTAGGTGGGGTGCATTGAGGGTTGGTGTGGACTTGTTAGGCCGAAGGGCCTGTTTCCACACTGTAGGGATTCTATAATGTGTGACTTAACATCTGAACTGGAATGGCAAAGTGGACCTTTTCTCGGAGGATGTAATTCTGAACGCCTCTTGCTCAAGTCGTATTTCATCATTGCATGAGCTTGGGTGTTGGTAAACGATTTGATGTAGACATTCCCCTCAGCAGCACCTTCTCCCACTTACTAAAACCCTCATGATGGCCGTGATGAAAACTTTCTAAGATGCAGCCTCACTGTCCCAGAAGGAAGGCTCTGGGTGTTTTTTTTTATTGTCCAGAATTTCTTCTGCCAGTTCATCCCTCGATGAATCCTTGAGTAACCTTAGACTGGCTGTGTTCTTGAGCCAAGGTCAGGGAGTTGGCTCACTGATAACATAGAGACATAGAGATGTACAGCACGGAAACAGATCCTTCGGTCCAATTCGTCCATGCCGACCAGATATCCTAAATTTAATCCAGTCCCATTTGCCAGCATTTGACCCATATCCATCTAAACCCTTCCTATCCATGTATCTGTCAGATACCTTTTAAATGTAATTGTACCAGCCTCTGCCACTTCCTGTGGCAGCTTGTTCCATATACGCACCAGCCTCTGCATGAAAACTTTGTCCCTTAGGTCCCTTTTAAATCTTTCCCCTTTCACCTTTAAACCTATGCCCTTTAGTTTTGGACTCCCCTAAACTGGGGGAAAAGACCTTGGCTATTCTCCTTACCCATGTGTCTTGGGTTCTAGACCAAAGAGTATCCTTCGAGGTGAGATATTTGATGTTGACCCCCATCCCCTGCTTCCCCAGCGAGATGCTGCCACTTCTGGGAGAAGAGGAGGAGGAGGAGAAGAAATGGTTCCTTTCTCAGAAAGCCCCAACAGACTGATAACTGTCTCTAATTCTACCTCTTTTTCTTTCTCTCAGTTTTACCGTGTGTGATACACAGCAGGACTCCGATCTCTTACCAATTCTGCAATTGAAACTTGTGAAGACTTGAACCATGCGAAAGGCCCCTCTGCTTCTTAACGCAACTACTATTTCGGAGAAATGCAACCAAATTGGCGTTCCTCCAATATTTCGATTGATCACCTCCCCAATTAATCTGTACAAGTTTCCATTCACACTGATTGAAGAGGCCTCCACTGGAAGAGCTAGCATCAGCATTGATATGAGCTCAATGGCCTCCTGTACTCTAATTTGTTTTTAACATAATTTTTTGTACAATCTATATCTGAGTTTATATTGGTGCAACTAATAATTGCAGCTTTTTTTAAAGCATGGATGACATGTTTATTGTCCTAAGATTTAATCATCAGTTCATTGCTGTTATTAATTATAATAAGGTTTAAACATTAATTTGCCTTCCACACTGAGAGACCTGTGTGTTTCTGCTCAATTGTACTGTTTCTCTTGGTATAATTTGGTCAAACAGATGCAAATATCAGAATTTTAAGTACAAATCTAATTTTCTACAATCTTCTTGCTCTGGTTTTCAAAAAAGTAATCTGATAACTTGAAGTTTGGCCCTACCTTGTATTCTAAGTAATGAGCTTCCACTAATTTGAAAAACAAATTAAATAGTGGCTGAAGTAGACCATTTGGCCCGTTCGATAGTGCTACACCATTCAGTGCAAGGACGACTGATCTTGGGCTTCAACTCTACTTTCCACTTCCCATATCCCTCCGTTCCCTGAATATTTCTGCCCCAACCTTTAAATGTGTTCCATAAAGGAGCATCTATAACCCTCTGGGTGGGGTATCCCAATGATTCCTAAACCTTTTGAGTGAAGTGATGTCTCTTTACGTCAGTCCTAGGTGATTCCGTATGAGACTGTGTGTCCCCGAGTTTTTGATTGTCGGTCTCTACTCCATGAAGGCTCTTCGTAATCTTCCGTGTCTCAATGAGCTCTATCTATTTGAGAGTTTCTGAAGAAGTTGTAATCGGAAAGGTTCTTTTGGGTACAATAGCAATGGGTATAGTTTAAAAATATTTTGAACGTAGCTTTTTTTAATTTGCTAAGAAGCTGACTTCTCTGTCCCATGTATAACTAACAAATTATTCTCTATATTTGTGATGATGATGATTTGGGTATTTAAGCACTAGTTACTCGGAGGTTGTGGGCCCATTAAAAAGGTCTTGGTGATTAAACAACTTTCATCTATCTCAGTTAATGCCTTTAAAATCGATCGTGGTGTCTATTTCAAAGCCAGCTTTTCGTTTATTGAATTTTACTTTCTGTCATGTTGCTTGGCTCATGCTGGCTCATGGAAGGTTTTTTTTTTATAATCGATGATTTGCAAATGAACTTGAGAAAAGAGAAATTCTTCTCTCTCTCAACCTGTGTTTGCGGCCAAAGACATCTCTACATACAAAGGAAGGAGGATTGTGGTCAACAGATTTCATATCCTTTCCCAGACACACCTTTTTCTGTGAGTAGGGGGTAAGGCCAGCTGAGTTTGTAAGACTAGGCAAATTGGGACAGGAGTTCAAATCCCACTGTGGGAGCTGGTGGAATATGAATTAATTACAAAGTCTGGAATATATAGCTAGGCTCGGAGTTGATATTCCTGTGAGCTATCACTGATTGTTTGTTAAATCCCATCTGGTTCACTGATGCCCTTTTTTTTAGGAAGGAAAACCACAATCCTCACCCTGCCTGTCCTCCAGGATCAAAGTGACTCTTTACTGCCATCTGGCAGACTGGTCAGTTCTCAGACTGGTAACTCTTCTGCCCAAGAATCCCTGTGGTGCTCCAGCGAAGCCCAGTGCAAACTGGACAAACTGTACCTCATTTCCCACTTAGTGCTGTGCGACCGTCAGAACTCAACATCGGAATTCAACAACTTCAGACCAGGAACACACTGTCCTTCATTTCGGAGATTCACTTCAAACCTGTGCACCAAAAATTGGAAAGGGGGTCAGGCTGGTTACATCTGGAATGGACTTGATGTTAGAAACTGAAATTAGGAGTAGGCCATTCGGTCCTTTTGAGAGTGCTCTGCTGTTCACTAGGATCATGGCTGATCCTCTGCCTCAACGCTGTATTCCTGCTTTCTCCCCAGACTGCTTGATGCCTTTAAAATCTAAACAAAAAAATGATCCATCTCTTTCTTGATTTATAGTCAGTGACCCAGCCTTCTGTGACAGAGAATTGCACAGGTTCGCTACCCTTGGAGTGAAGAATTCTTTCCTGATCTCAGTCCCAAATGGCCTGTTCTGTAATCGCGTGGCTGTGTCTCCCGGTTCTAAACACCCCCAACCAGGGAAAACGTCATCCTCCCTGTTCTGATCAATCTCCTCCATAACATAAACAGGGGTCCCTCAAATTTTCTTCCTGGTTGTGTGGAAGCCCAAGTAAATTGCACCACGCATAGCGAGTGGCATTGGCACATCAGAGCGTAAAGGGAGTGGTGCTTGGGGTGGCACGTTGGTTCAGTGGTTAGCACTGCTGCCTCACAGCACCAGGAACCCGGGTTCAGTTCCACCCTCTGGCAACTGTCTGTGTGGAGTTTGCACATTCTTCCCGTGTCTGCATGGGTTTCCTCTGGGTGCTCCAGTTTCCTCCCACAGTCCAAAGATGTGCAAGTTAGGGTGGATTGGCCATGCTAAATTGCCTGTAGTGTTCAGGGAGGTGTAGATTAGGGGAATGGGTCTGGGTGGGATTCTCTGAGGGTTGGTGTGGATTTGTTGGGCTGACGGGCCTGTTTCCACACTGTAGGGATTCTATTATTCTAGATGTACTCAGGGTTGGGCAGGGGCAGTGTACCCCTTACCTCAGCTGCCTGGGCGTTTTCGTGCAGTGAGCCTGGCTGTGACCGTGGCCCTCTGTTGCTACTCAAACAGGATGCTGGTTTGTCAGCAGGTCAGCGCATGACTCTGGCCTATGGAGATTAAACAATAAAGCCACTGGTGGAAAGCAGTCAAGGGCTGGCATTGTAGAAGGTCTGCCACAAGCAATTGGACCCATTTCACGCAAACAGTGAACTGCAGTGTCAGAACAGATTGGATTTGGACATACTTGTTAACAACAGGAAATAGCCATTAACTTTTAATAGCTTCTGTTATCCTGAGATTGAACGCACTTTTTTCTCTCTCTCAATTTCCCTCACTGAGAGCTCTTGCAGCATAGTGGTAGTGTCCTTACCTTCAGACTGGAAGGTTTTGGTTCAAATCCCACCTGCCCTAACAGTGTGTTGTAACCTGTCTAGAAAAAAAGTTGATTCAAAATCTCTGTACCTCAGTGAGTCCCAATTCTGAATGATGCTTTTCCCACTAGAAAAACTTCAGTCTAATCCCACTCAACAATCAGTTCCCATTTGCAGATAATGCAAGGATGCAGATTTAAGGATTCAGTTGTGAGATGATGATGGATAGAGTGAAGAAGAATATTTATTACTCTACAAGTGATAATAAGCTGGAAATTGCTGGCTACGTGGGTAGTGGAAGTAGACACAATCGATGATTTGAAAATAATATTTTTATTCATTATTGAGACGTGGGTTCTGCTGGCTAGGCTAGCATTTATTGCCCCTACCCAATTGATTAGAGGGCAGTTGAGGGTTAATCACTTTACTGTGGGTCTGCATGCACATATAGGCCAGATTGGGTAAGGGGCAGCATGGTGGCTCAGTGGTTAGCATTGCTGCTTGCAGCACCAGGGACCCGGGTTCAATCTCAGTCTTGGGCGACTGTCTGTGAAGAGTTTGCATGTTCTACTTGTGTCTGTGTGGGTTTCCTCCCACAGTCCAAAGATGTGCAGGTTAGGTGGATTGGCCATGCTAAATTGTCCAGGTTAGGTGGGTGTCCCATGAGAAAGGCAGAGTTATAGGGACAGCATAGGGAATGGGGAGTCTGGGTGGGAAACTCTCTGGACAGTCAGTGTGGACTTGTTGGGCCAAATGGCCTGCTTCCACACTTTAGGGATTCTATGATTTCCTTTCCTAAAGGGCATTAGTGAACCAGATGGTTGGAAAGGGGTGCAGGGGTGCTGGGAAAGGGACAGACTGGATTGCTTTATAGAAAACTAGCATGGACTGGATGGGCTGAATGGTTTCTTTCTGTGCCCAAGTAACCCGATGACTCAGCTGCTGGCTCCCAACATTTCAATCCTATCCCACCTTCCCAAATGTCACAAGGATCTGTTTTACAGACCCACACCTGAATCAGCAACAATAAAGCATGTTTGTTTAACCTGAAGCTAGTGTAAAGTTGATTTTTTTTAATACCTAAATTTTATTTACCCAAGACATCTGCAAACCCCCTGTGTTCTGAGGATGATCACTATCTCCCGACACCCTGTATTTCCCTCTTTATTTTGTTCTTTCATAGGAGCTGGGTGTCACTGGTCCGACCAAGCCTTAATTCCCTTGAACTGAGTGGCTTGTTGGACTGTTACTGTGGGTCTGTAGTCACATGTAGGCCAAACCACGCAAGGTTCAGGTAAGATATTCCTTCCCTAAAGTGAATGAGTGAACCAGCTGTACGTTTTTGTAATGATTGTGGTGGCCATTATGCCAGCTTCTAATTACAGATTTTTAAATTGAAGTCAAACTCCACATTCTCCACCCCCCCCCCCCCCCCCCCCCCCAACCAAAATGGTGGGACTCAAAGCGATGTCCCCAGAACATTAACTTGGGGTTCTGGATTTCTATAATGCTATTGCCTATCTTCTGTCCCACTGGGCTGGGGGGAGGGTGGATGTGGATGGGGTGGCAGTGGTGGGGCCCAGCTCCATGTTTACGCTGAAGTGAATTCCCATTCTGTCGGTGTTCCAGCCAAGCCTCAAGTATGGATGGCTTGGAACTTCAAACAATAGGAGCTGAGTCAACCAATCAGCCCTTTGAGACTAGTCTGCAATCCACATAGGTTAACAGCTGATCGTTGTCTTTACTTTCTCACTCAATCCCCGTATCCATCGATAGGTAGTCTATTAGCTTGGATGGATGGTTTGTAATGCAGAATAGCACTAAGAATGTGGGTTCAATCCCCATACTGGCTGAAATTACCATGAAGGACTCTCCTTCTCAACCTCTCCACTTGCCTGAGCCGTGGTGACCTTCAGACTAAACCACCTCCTGTTGTCTCTTTCTCTAATGAGAGAGCAGGGCTATGCAATGTTGGCATTTATTTTGAGAGGACTTGAATATAAAAGCAGGGATGTACTACTGAGGCTTTATAAGGCTTTGGTCAGGCCACGTTTGGGGTATTATGCACAGTTTTGGGCCCCATATCTCAGGAAGGATGTACTGGCCCTGGAGTGGGTTCAGAGGCGGCTCATGAGAATGGTCCCAGGAATGGAAAGCTTAACATATGAGGAATGTTTGAGGACTCTGGGACTATACTCATTGGAGTTTAGAAGGATGAGGGGGTATCTAATTGAAACTTACAGAATACTGAATGGCATGGACAAAGCGGATGTTGGGAAGATGCTTCCATTGGTAGGAGAGACTAGGACCCGAGTGCACAGCCTTAGAGTAAAGGGAAGACCTTTTAGAACGGAGATAAGGAGAAACTTCTTTAGCCAGAGAGTGGTGAAGCTATGGAATTCACTGCCACAGAAGGCTGTGGGGGCCAGGTCATTGAGTACATTTAAGACTGAGATAGATAGGTTCTTGATTATCAAGGGGATCAAGGGTTACGGGGAGAAAGCAGGAGAATGGGGTTGAGGAACTTATCAGCCGTGATAGAATGGCAGAGCAGACTCAATGGGCCGAAGGAGCAGAAATTATGCCATATGTCTTTTGGTCTTATGGACTATGGTCTGATAAGATTATAATAACTTTTATAGGCCCAATAGAAATGATCTCTTCACCAGGACAACTCTCTCGATCCAGGAACCGATCTAGTTAAAGAAAATGAACTTCTGTCTCACCGCGACTAATTGTTGGAATCTGAGGATTATAATATCTGCTTCATTTGACATGTCCAGGGCAAAAAAAAAGCCTGATTAAATTACCAGTAAGTTTCTCCTCGCAAGGCTTTAGTGGTCAGCATTCTGATCTTGTGCTTACCCTGTCAGCCTCCTCTCTGAAGCTCTGGTTAAGGAACCAGCTCCATGATTTGACCCGGTGGAGTGATAGTGGGCAGCTGGGATCATCGGAGAGATTTGGATGGAGAAGTGAAACATTGACTTGGAAATCACAGCAAGGTTGAGAAGTAGGTGAAAGACAAAAGGCAAATTTCTGTCTTTTTCAGATGTAGCCAGAGTTCCAACCGCCCTCCCTTTATCCACACCTCCCTAAACATCCAGCCCACCTCCCGACCTTCATAACCTTCTCCACCTCCTATCCACTGTTACAACTCTCTCTCCTCTTGCCCCCTTCTCCTCCTCCTTCCAGTTGTCACAAACTGTACGGTTGTACCCAACAGAGGGAGGTTGTCTGATCTCCCAATCTCTTGTGGCGTTGGGGAAAACTTTTCCATTTGAAATGGGTGACCAGGAGCAGGGATCGGCAGTTGGTAACACCTCCCAGGTCTGGATTAATGGCGGGACTTTTCTTCACCGCTTCCTGGTTGTTGTTCGGAAGGAGGTGAAGCAGCTGTTTCTACTGGCTGGGCCGTTGGTAAGTGCAACATTCAAAGGCAGATATCGACCCTCACCTGTCTCGGTTTGGAGATGTGGTGGATTCTGTGTGACTGTAGATGTGCATCGTCGCCCTCAGCAATGTCTTGGGGATGTGTGAGAGAGAGGAAATCCACAAATGATGAAGGATTTTGAGTTATCGGCTGGGGAGAATTTTTAGAGGTGTAGTTACTGACAGATGATTACTCCATTACAAGGTCTTGCTGAGAGCAAATTGGCTGCTGGATTGTCTCCATTGTGGGATGAGGGTGTCATTGGCTAGGCCAGCACTTATTGGCTACCTTGCCCAGTTCAGAGTCAACCGCATTGCTGTGGGTCTAGAGTCGCATGTAGGCCAGACCAGGTAAGGATGGCAGATTTCCTTCCCTAAAGGGCATTAGTGAACCAGATGGGTTTTTCCGATAATTGATTTATTGTCTTCATTACACTCTTAATTCTTAAAATTGAATTCAAAGTCCACCGTTTGCCATGGCAGGGTTTGAACCCAGGTCTCCCAGAACATTATCTGAGTCTGTGGATAAGAGTCCCAGTGAGATTACCACTAGGCCACTGTCTCCCCGTTGTGGTGGCAAGATTGGCTGTAAAACATATGGGCTCACAATATCATGAGGCCCTGAAACTTGGAAATAAATGCATCCTTTTCTCTCATTTCCTGAATCTGAGATTGGCACGCAGGGTGAGATAGTGTACAAAGAACCCTGTTATACCTGCAAGGTATTTTCGCTACCCTCAACCCCTGTATACCTTTTATCCAAACAACATCAGTACGCAACATCTGTCATCCCTGTTTCATAGATATCTCCCTTATTTATCAGATCCTGCATTTATATAGCACCTTTACCATTCTGAGAATTGACACCTTGTCAAAGAAGGAAATTACAGGACGGGGTATAAAACGGCTGAAAGGTTTAAAGAAGGTTCCTTATGAGGAGAGAGGGCTTTGAAATGTTTAGGCGGGGGGTGGGGTGGGAGGGGGAGGGGGATGAGTTCCACAGCCTGGGGGAAGATTATTGAAGGTGAGGCCACCAATGGTGGGATAAGAGGCCAGAGTTGGAGGAACATGATTGGAATAGTTGTTGGAAATCGGGGCGGGGGTGGGGAAGAAAGGGAAAATTGATCAACGTATGGGGGGAATGTGATGGTTTGACGGATGTGGGAGAGAATGATAACTCCATGAAAAGGGCAGAATGATGGTTCAATACTGGCCCATCTGTACCATGATATGGTAGTTGCTGCTGCTGAGGCAACAATCCTGGGGGGAAAGAAAGACCTGCTGAATTTCAGTGGGGTTACTTTTCCATTGAGAACTGAGCTCACTGAGGCTAGAAGATCCCCCGTCTTTCGTCGCTCAAATTTTCGGATCTCAAAACCTTTTGATGTCGGTTTTGTTTTAATAGATTCTATCACAGGTGATGATTTACAGCCTGAATTTTATCAGCTCTGCGTTCAGTGGACACCTTGGCAAATATGAATTGGGCGCTGTGTCACTCGCAACATCGGTGGGTACAATACGTTTAATTGAAGCAGTGAACACACAGGGATAAACCAATTCACCTACTCGGAAAACTAGTATCCTCGGTGAGGTCTCTGCAGTTCAAATTTGGGTCCTAACATTGTTTACAAAGCCACTTTATTTGAAATTGCACTATTCAAAGACTCAGCTGAATTAAAGTTTCTCAAGGAGTGGGTCTCCTGTTGGCCTGAAATGGAATCCATCCATTTGGTCAGTCTCCTCATTGGCTCAAGAATTCCAATGGCCTGGTCAGGGCAGGCCCTGACAGCTCAGGCATAGAAAAGCCACCGAGAGCGGGTGGGGAGATGGACGGATGGATTGTGGTGACAACGTTTCATCCCCCTTTTCTCTTCTAATTGTTCTCTCCTGCACTCTTTCCCAAAGGTGGTGAGCGTGACGGGTGTGGCTGTAGGGACGGGTCTGTCCATGGCGTGCGACACTCTGATATCTCAGGTAAACATCTGTCGTCAGGAGTTGCCTCGATGGGGCACATCGTGAGCAAATGAGAAGACATTACCCTGTTGCTGACAGAGCCAGTGTCATTAACCTGGCCTGTGTCCATTCAGGGGCCGGCTATAGGTTCTGTGCTGCTTTGAAAGATAAGTGTTTAGCAAGTAAACGGAGACAGTAAGACGGGGGTGGGGTGGGGTGGGGGGGTGGGCGGTGGGTTACCATCTTGTAGGGGTTTGTAGTTGTGAATTCTTTAGTGTGGAGGGTCCTGCCTGAACAGGTTGTTCACATGGAGTGAGGGGTTTGAGCCATCAGGGCCAGACACTGGAGAAATAAGTCCCATTTGGTAAACGGAGAAAGGGTACATTCAAGCCCAAAGTGACCTATTGTGGACTAGAGTATCCACCTTTCTGATCTAACTAGATGAGTCTTGTTGAGTTTGCAATATAATGTTTAACGATTTGGTGGTACCTAACTTGAATATTGCTGAGAAATTACACATTTTGTCAAAACTGTTTGCCTTGCAGTCATTGGGACAACTCGCAAGGAAAGCTAACATGACCCCACACCTCCTCCCTCACCCCCATCCCCCGCACCTCCTCCCTCACCCCTATCCCAGGCCCCAAGAAGACTTTCCACATCAAGCAGATGTTCACCTGCACATCTGCTAATGTGGTATACTGCATCCGCTGTTCCCGTTGTGGCCTCCTCTACATTGGGGAAACCAAGCGGAGGCTTGGGGACTGCTTTGCAGAACATCTACGCTTGGTTCACAATAAACAACTGCACCTCCCAGTTGCGAACCATTTCAACTCCCTCTCCCATTCCTCAGACGACACGTCCATCCTGGGCCTCCTGCAGTGCCACAACGATGCCAACTCATATTCCGCTTGGGAACACTGCAGCCCAAAGGTATCAACGTGGATTTCACAAGCTTCAAAATCTCCCCTCCCCCCACCGCATCCCAAAACCAGTCCAGCTCGTCCCCGCCTCCCTAACCTGTTCTTCCTCCCACCTATCCCCTCCTCCCACCTATCCCCTCCTCCCACCTCAAGCCCCACCCCCATTTCCTACCTACTAACCTCATCCCGCCCCCTTGACCTGTCCGTCCTCCCTGGACTGACCTATCCCCCTCCCTACCTCCCCACCTTTACTGGCTCCATCCCCGCCTCTTTGACCTGTCTGTCTCCTCTCCACCTATCTTCTCCTCTATCCATCTTCTATCCGCCTCCCCCTCTCTCCCTATTTATTTCAGAACCCCCTTCCCCTCCCCCATTTCTGATGAAGGGTCTAGGCCCGAAACGACAGCTTTCCTGCTCCTATGATGCTGCTTGGCCTGCTGTGTTCATCCAGCTCTACACCTTGTTATCATTGATACTGTATTACAGGAGAGTGCTGATTGGTTGGCAAGTGAACTGTGTCCAGTAGACTTTCTATGGCATTGACTCTACAATTCAGAATCTGCTTGCCGATCAATCAGAACTCTCCTCTCGTATGGTTTGAATGTTGGTTTTCCCTTTGAATTGGTATTCTTGCCCTGATGAGAGCAGGATGAGAAGTTTTAACAAAGTGTGTCTCTTTTTAACAATATTGAATGAAGTTTATTGCAGTACTGTGACTATTTACAGATTACAGAAGTGTAACTTACATTAGATGTATAGACTGTCAGGAGCACATTCACCCCAGGTTTGTTTCCCCCAGGCTCCTTCATTATTCTGACCATATCCTCGTGATACCATTGCAGTAGGTAGTGCTTACAGCCTCCAAGCAAGTATTAACCCTATAATACCGTGGGCCTTGGAAATGTTGAGATTGAATGTTCCACTTTGTCCCAAACTGCCCATGTAAACTCAAACCTCATTCACCCATTGAAATGAGAGAATTGGCATTGACAGGATCTTGTGACTCTAGATCACAAATCCCAGTGACCTCAGCCCATTGCATTTTTGGCCTTTAATAGAAACTGCTTTTGCAGTTATTATTTGGTAGAATCTTTGGAATTCTCTATCCCTGAGGGCCATGATTGGGCAGCACAGTGGCTCAGTGGTTAGCACTGCTGCCTCTAGGCACCAGGGACCCAGGTTCAATTCCACCCTCGGGCGACTGTCTGTGTCTGCATGTGTTTCCTCTGGGTGCTCCAGTTTCCTCCCACAGCCCAAAGATGTGCACATTAGGTGGATTGGCCATGCTAAATTGTCCCATAGTGCCCAGGGATGT